GTCAGAGGACCCAAAGGGAACACTCAAACCCAAGAAATGCATACTTGTGTAAATGTGTCCTTGCTGGGAGCTGAACCTAGGGCCCCTGGGCTGTAGGGCCACAGGATGTCCTTTCAGGACGACTCAGGGATGTGTTGACATTGGATTAGGGCTCAGATCCATTAGATTTAACCCTTTTGTTGACAACTGCCTGAGCTGCCGACAACCTATTCCTGTAACAATCCTGTGTGGAGATTGTTATAAAATTCAGACATTTAGACATTTTGGGAGGTCCATTGTTTTTGTGTCTCATGCACTAGGGAGTCAGTATTTCTCAGGTTGAATGCAAATGCAAGCTTTTGGGATTAGCTCCTTGTATTTGATCAGTGTGATGTCAATAATCTAAAATGTCTCTCTTGTATTTTGTTGTTCCCTCTCTCGTTCCTTGTTTAGTACATTTTTTTTTTCATCAAAGTATTAAAGCAATCTTTCTCAACATTTTTACTATTGATAAACCTTTTTGAAAAAGTTTTCAGGTCTCAGGGAACCTCCTCTAATATGATAAGACCTTCATCTCATGGTGTATTAGCATGATCAGTAGGATATAAACAGGACACTTTTTGTTGGTGGTCATTGTAGAAGTGACCCCTTTAGTTTGTTGGCCAGGGTAGAAGTGACCCCTTAGTTTGTTGGCCAGGGTAGAAGTGACCCCTTAGCTTGGCGGTCGGTGTAGACGCGACCCCTTAGCTTGGCGGTCGGTGTAGACGCGACCCCTTAGCGTTGGCGGTCGGTGTAGACGCGACCCCTTAGCTTGGCGGTCGGTGTAGACGCGACCCCTTAGCTTGGCGGTCGGTGTAGACGCGACCCCTTAGCGTGGCGGCCGGTGTAGACGCGACCCCTTAGCTTGGCGGCCGGTGTAGACGCGACCCCTTAGCTTGGCGGTCGGTGTAGACGCGACCCCTTAGCTTGGGGCGGTGTAGACGCGACCCCTTAGCTTGGCGGTCGGTGTAGACGCGACCCCTTAGCTTGGCGGCCGGTGTAGACGCGACCCCTTAGCTTGGCGGCCGGTGTAGACGCGACCCCTTAGCTTGGCGGCCGGTGTAGACGCGACCCCTTAGCTTGGCGGCCGGTGTAGACGCGACCCCTTAGCTTGGCGGCCGGTGTAGACGCGACCCCTTAGCTTGGCGGCCGGTGTAGACGCGACCCCTTAGCTTGGCGGCCGGTGTAGACGCGACCCCTTAGCTTGGCGGCCGGTGTAGACGCGACCACTTAGCTTGGCGGCCGGTGTAGAAGCGACCCCTTAGCTTGGCGGCCGGTGTAGAAGCGACCCCCTGCATCGTGGGCCGGAGGGAGCACAAGGCGCGAGCCCATGATTGGAACACGAGGTGAGATCCCTTGATGGCTGTGTGTAGCGGTGCCATGCAGAGTGTAGGGAAGAGAGTGCAGAGGGACGGAGCACTGTGTGTGCAGGGCAGGAGTCAATACAGACTGTAGGTTGAGCAGAGAGAAGGATGTCACAGGATGTCACCTCCTGATCAAGCCACGTGTTCCCAGTCTCTGCACTCCACTAAATGCCACTCTCTGAGTTCACAGGAACCCCAGTTACAAATGAGGCATCCAGTATCAATGCACACGGTCAGTGCATATTAAAAACAACTTTGGGTAGATATACATCTGCCACAATATTGATCTGTGCTTTATGGATTTGCAGAGCTGTGCAGGGAAGGATACTGTTATTTACTCCACTCTTCCCCACAGGTCCTCCTTCTGTCTGTCCCAGGCTGTTAAATGTAATATCAACTGGGATGGATGAGAGGAGGGCTTGTGGGGATCAAGGAAAAACAGCATGTTCCAACAACCGCTTCCCTGCGCTGCTCTGCATTTGTTTGTTAATTTTTGTTATATCTACAGCTTGCTGATCAGATCCAATGTTTTGTGACCTGTAAATCTGAACATTTTTTTCAGGGGTTCCCCGAGATCTCAAACATTTTGCCAAGGGTTCCTTCAAGGTAAAAAGGTTTAAAAAACCCTGGACTAGACTCAGATCTGGGAAACAATAAAAGTTCTGTTGGTGCAATACCTTTGCAGTAGGAACCAAGTATAAAGCCCTGACTCAATGGTCTCTTTTACCTTCCAGAATAGCTATGTACTGGAATATTCACCAAAACACTTTCACAGTTGTGGGCACTCTCCTCTCTATCTAGAGGTCATGTCCAGCAGCCAGATGATTCTGGTTAGAAGTCTTTGACATGGTCCCTAAGCTTTTTGTTCCTATGGTGCCCCTACAGGCACCATGCACTCTTCTTAATTTAGGACCTCCAGACCTCGCCAATCCACAATTTTGAGTATGAGTCATGTTGTCCCAGCAGCCAAACAAACACTAGCTAGGGCTCAGAAGATCAGGACCCTGAATGTCACAGAAACTAGATGTAGTGTTATCTAGGTTATGCTTCATGGATAGATGGAGTCCAAAATCTCAGGCACAATGATAAAATGGCTATTGATCCGGCAGAGATCTTCCTCCAGGCTTGGACTATGGCAACAACCCATTCTGTATATCACAGTACTTTCTGACTTGAATATCTAGTACTAGTTGGGCACATTCAACTGGGCTTGTTCTGTAATGTTGAAGGAGTTTTCTAGCTTCCCAAAGCCACTTCCTTAGTTCTGAAGAAATGAAGTGACCTGAAGAAATGAAGAAGTGACTTCAGTAAGTTTCAAAATATTGTCAACATTGCAGAACAAGTCCAGTTGAATGTGAGCAGCTAATACTGAGTAGACCTCGAAGTGCCACTAGGTAGACCTCAAAGTGGCAGTAGATCTACCATGATCTGGATGAGTGAGAACCTTCACAGACATTATTTATTTGAAGGTTTTTACTTCTTTTTGACTAAAATTAATATATTGAACAATAAAAAGAAAAAAAAAAAAGCCTCACTTTAAAGAAAACCTGATATATCTCAGGATAATCCATATAAACTTGCATATGAAATGTTCTACCCAAAGTATACACTGGTTGTCCATAGTTTGCCAAAAGAAACAGAAACCATAGATCAGCTCTCACAGTAGGTCACTTAAAGCTGAATACTGTGTATTCTAGGTCCAGAGTAAGTATGTATGTGCCATACCTGTGGGGTCCCCATGAAAGCTGGAAATCGCTGTAGTAGGCCCTGCCACTCTAGTGATCACCACTAGCTTCTGGTTGCCGTACCAAGTGACTGCCCTGCTGTTTAGTGAACACAGGAGGTTGGTTGCATAGCACAGACGCTATCTGGGAAACGCTATGCATTAACTCAATTCATGCAAATAGTACTCTGATTGGATGAGGTAGAAAGGCGTGGTGGTGACATCATGATCTGCACCTCATCCACTCAGAGAACACTTTGCAAAGGGCTCATTGCATGACATAGCATCTGTGCTGAGCGGGTGATGTTCTGTGTTCACTAAGCAGCAGGGATTCTGCTTGGCCTGGGATACAGAAGCTAGTGGCAATCGCTGTAGTAGCAGTGGCTACTGCAGTGATTTCCAGCTTCTACAGGGATCCCACAGGTATGGTACAAACTTACATTGGCCTCTGCTGGACCAATGTAACTATGTGAAAATAGCCATGCCTAAACTTAACCTTTAAAGAGTCCATATTGGTGGCACATATAGAGCTTAAAGTGTTCCTAAACCCACAACCGTGAAATCCGTCTGTATATGCAGTACAGCATGCTTGTTATACTCAGGAACCTAAGGGGTTAATCCTCTGCATTGTGTAAAAAGGCCATTTGTCTGTCTTCTCTGCCCTTCCTCTTGTTCAAATGTTCATGTCTTATCTCCTGATAAGACAGACTGAACCATAGCCATTTCTCACATGCTCAGTTTAGTGTGTATTGCTAGAGAGGGTTTTTTTGGGGGGGAGGCGAGTGCATGTGATCTGCACAGGTCCACTCAGCACTGTCCAGACAGAGGTCAGGGGTTTTGCATCCTCCTACAGCAGAAAGAAAACTCCTCCAAGTTTTAACCAGTACTCTGCTGGACACTGATAGAAGTCACAAGACTGCTCTAACTGCTGATGAGAAAAGGTATTTAGCAGTTTATATTTACTAAAATAATTGCATTTCCATGTTGTGTGTATTGTGGGAGACCAGATATAGTGAATGCAGGGTCCAGGGAGAGCGGATGTAGTGAATGCAGGGTCCGGGGAGACCGGATATAGTAAATGTTGGGTCCAGGGAGACCAGATATAGTGAATGCAGGGTCCGGGGAGACCAGTTATAGTGAATGCATGGTCCGGGGAGAGGAGAGCGGATCTTGTGAATGCAGGGTCCGGGGAGACCAGATATAGTGAATGCAGGGTCCGGGGAGACCAGATATAGTGAATGCAGGGTCCGGGAGACCAGATATAGTGAATGCAGGGTCCGGAGAGAGCATATATAGTGAATGCAGGGTCCGGAGAGAGCATATAGTGAATGCGGGGTCCGGGGAGACCGGATATAGTGAATGTGGGGTCCGGGGAGAGCGGATGTAGTGAATGCGGGGTCCGGGGAGACCGGATGTAGTGAATGCAGGTCTGGGGAGACCAGATATAGTGAATGCGGGGTCCTTAGAGAGCGTATATAGTGAATGCGGGGTCCCTAGAGAGCATATATAGTGAATGCGGGGTCCGGAGAGAGCATATATAGTGAATGCGGGGTCCGGAGAGAGCGTATATAGTGAATGCGGGGTCCGGAGAGAGCGTATATAGTGAATGCGGGTCCGGAGAGAGCGTATATAGTGAATGCGGGGTCCGGAGAGAGCGTATATAGTGAATGCGGGGTCCGGAGAGAGCGTATATAGTGAATGCGGGGTCCGGAGAGAGCGTATATAGTGAATGCGGGGTCCGGAGAGAGCGTATATAGTGAATGCGGGGTCCGGCGAGGGATATAGTGAATGCGTCCGGGGAGACCGGATATAGTGAATGCGGGGTCCGGAGAGAGCGTATAGTGAATGCGGGGTCCGGGGAGAGCGGATATAGTGAATGCGGGGTCCGGAGGAGAGCGGATATAGTGAATGCGGGGTCCGGAGAGCGGATATAGTGAATGCGGGGTCCGGGGAGAGCGGATATAGTGAATGCGGGGTCCGGGGAGAGCGGATATAGTGAATGCGGGGTCCGGGGAGACCGGATATAGTGAATGCAGGGTCCGGGGAGAGCCGGATATAGTGAATGCAGGGTCCGGGGAGACCGGATATAGTGAATGCAGGGTCCGGGGAGACCGGATATAGTGAATGCAGGGTCCGGGGAGACCAGATATAGTGAATGCAGGGTCCGGGAGACCAGATATAGTGAATGCAGGGTCCGGGGAGACCAGATATAGTGAATGCAGGGTCCGTGGTTTAGTAACATTTTAAGTGTGGCAAAACAATGCACTTTAGCCCCCTTTTGGACTCCCCTTTATTTAGAAATCACTTTTTATATATATTCCAAACTTAGGAATTATTTATCTGAAGATCCTGTTTTCATTCATATCTAACTATGGGTGGCAGTGATACTGTTGGATATTGTGTGCAGTGGATAGAGACAGTTGTTCTATTCTTTGTTGGGAACGTGAAGTAGTTATATTGTTCCCTCAAATGTCGCCATCATATATTTACTTTCTGATCTCACAATTGGCAGTGGTTCAAGTTCTTTGGAAATTTTGAAGGAAAGAATCTTAAAGGACCTGATTGAGGTGTACAGACCTGGGAACCTGAGAGCAGAGATCTCACCGGTAGAAAGAATATAGGAAACCATTGATTTCATTAACTGTGCGCCACATTCTGAAATATCAGTTTCTGACCCATTAAAGTAGATATAAACCCCAACTGAGTTTCACCGAGTCTGTTAAAGCCTTTATTGCATTGCAGTGCTGGTGAGCTCCTGCAGCTTCTTTGCAGCCACTTCCAGTCTACATGCACTCCAGCGATGGCTGCATGGCATTTTTTGGGGCAGTTTCCTAATTCTGACAATAACGGACCGTGCCTGGTCAATGTGTGCTAAGACAGTCATTTATAGTCTCCTTTGGGAGCCCCTGGGATAGGATGACAACTCAGGAGCACAGTTGGGAGGCATTACCAGAGTGTTGTCACCGTATAACAGGAAGTGCTTGAACAAACACTTTCATGACAAGATTAACAGGTATTCACTTTTAAAGTGTATCTAGAGCATGTTTGTTTGGATAGATTGAGAGAATTTCAAAGCCATGACATGTTCTGCCCAAAATTTTTAAAATGCAATTTTGGGGTATATACAATTAAAGACGCAGGTGATTTGGAAATTACTTTTGAAACAATGTTAACATATTAAAGCTTCTATCAGATTTAAAATGGTTGTAAACAAATATGATCAAATCCTATCCCTCTATAGTGTGTACCAGGGGCGGACTGACAACTCGTGGGGCCCCCGGGCAATAGGGGATCATGGGGCCCCTGTGTCCTTGCCCAAACTCAAAAAAGCCTATGAAAAAGGTACCAGGGGCATCTCATGGGGCACCCTACTGGTCAGTGCCCGAGTTTCCAAATGGTCAGTCCACCCCTGGTGTGTATTTGTCTCAATCCAGAGCACTAAGTGTCATTTCTGTCTGCTGCTTCATTCCTCTATTTCCCCCCGGTTCACATCTATGCGGCCGTGCGGGTCGCATTTTGCATGGGCACAAGAGCCCATTCATTTGAATGGACTCCCATGCCGGTGACACGCAGGGAAGAAGTCCCTGCACTTCTTGGAAAACGCAGCCTGCACTGGAAGCTCTGTTCCCAGTACGTTTGCGTTTTCCAGTGTTGGTGGCGTGCCCCCTGGTTTCACATCTGTGTGGGTGGTGCGGCTGCATGGATTTTCGTGTGTATCCGCAGTGGCACCACCCACACAGATGTGAAGCTGGGGTCAGCATAAAATACTTCTGACAAGTTTTCCTGACACCAAGAGAAAAATGGTGACAGGGGAGGGACCTCTACTAGATTGACAGCCTCAGCTCTGTTCCTATGAGCTGAGTGGAGGGGGGGTGTCCCTTCCTTCCAATCAGCTCTCAGAGCTCTCCCCACTGAGCTCTCTGCTCTCCCTTCCGTTTTGACATCTCTACAAGCTTTATAAATTCTGCACTTTGAACGGCTGTAGTGAAGAGAAGACTGCAGATAAACAGGTACAACATATGTAGGAGGATTTGTTTCATCTCTGTGTACCACCTGAGGTCAGCCACTTCATTAGATATATGTAAGGGTCAGGGGTGGACTGACAACTCATGGGGCCCCTGAGCAATAGGGATCATGGGTCCCCTGTGTCCTTGCCCAAACTCAAAAAAAGCCTATGAAAAAGGTACCAGGGGCATCTCATGGGGCCCCCTACTGACCCCGGGCCCTCGGGTAGTGCCCGAGTTTCCAAATGGTCAGTCCGCCCCTGGTAAGGGTTTACAAATACGTATAGGCCGTTTTTCACGAGATTCCGTGTGTCGCACATATGGCAGCGCATTCATTTCACTGTGCTGCCCTACGCCGGTTTGTCATTTAAAAAAAAAAAAAGCTTCTGTCCCTTTTTGGGCAACAAGTTTTGTGCAAAATATATATATATTTTTTTTTTCTTTTAAGGCATGTTTTGGCATGCGACAAAATTAGAATAAATGACAGTCAAATACATGTTGCATGTTTTGCAGTAATTGCCACGTGATTTGGAATCGCGGGCAAAATTGCCAAGTTTGAGTCTCCATGCACACGCAGGGGCGGACTGACAACTCATGGGGCCCCCCGGGCAATAGGGGATCATGGGACCCCTGTGTCCTTGCCCAAACTCAAGAAAGCCTATGAAAAAGGTACTAGGGGCATCTCATTGGGCCCCCTACTGACCCCTGGCCCTCGGGCAGTGCCCGAGTTTCCAAATGGTCAGTCCGCCCACGGGACGTTTTGATAACGCTGGTAACGTTGGCTGTGTAAAGTCATGTTAAAACTGTGAGTTTTAGGCGTTTTGTGTTTTGCATATTTTTTTTAGCAATTTTTTTTTTTACAAAAAAAGGACCAAAACCGCCGGCATTTTACCGCATTTTGCTGCGTTTCTCAGCGTTAGTTTTACAGCTAAAAAAAATCCTCTAGAAACCCACTAGTCCTTTTTGTGTGTTTTTTGTTTTTTTTTTGTTTTTTTTTTTTCCAGCCAAAAAACGTTGATTCCAGTCTGTGTGTATGGACACATAGGATAACATGCTGGGGGGTTTACTGGCTGTAGAAAATAAACGTCAAAAGCCAAAAACGGCCGCTGTAAAAACATGCAGGAGGACTGAATGGGGACATATCGCAGAAAATCAGTATGCTATGTGTCACCAATCCAAAAGCCATCCAAATGTTGCTGTGTGCAACTCCGTCTACATCCTCCCTAGCCCACACAGTTGAACCCAGCTAGTGACTGCGTTGGCTCTGGCAGGGAGCAGTGCGATGTGTTTCAGCGTATCGCATGGTCTACTTTTTTTCAATTAAATCATATTTAATAACAATGTACTTCTAATTCTGTATCTTTTAATGAATGCCTCGGCATGGATCTCTTGCCTATTAGCCAGACCCGTGTTTTAGGTTCTTTCCATGCCATGCCTCAAAAATAAGATCATGATTAATACATGGAAGCCTATTGGCTGACACAGGTCACAGGTCAGCTTCTGAATCACAGCTGTCATGTGAGCTCGGTGGAAGTGGCGGTTATGGTTTTATAACTGTTTGCTCACAGAGGGGCCATTGCTCTGTTTTCTGTCTTATCACTTTGCACCTGTTTTACAGCAGCTTCACCGCTGACTCATCCCTCCAAGTAACAGGTAGATTGAGGAGAAAGTCTTCTGGCTGATCTATTATAACCGTAGATCCCGGGAAGAGCAAAATCCAGTCTGTCCTGTTCACCCCGCATTGCTGCAATACTTGCTGTACGTAGGCACACAGTGCAAACAACTGATTGGTGCTGAAGGCAGTTGTAATGTTACAATCTCACGCTCCCCTAGTAAGATATTATTGAAGCTGCACACGAGGCCACGGGCTTGCTCTTCCGGTTGCTCCGGTTTTTGTTCTGCCTTATGGTTCCTAGAGCATGCTGCCCGGCTGGTCAAGTAGAACTAAAGGCAAAACTCTTTATTTTTCATTTTGGATAGAGTAAGGGAGAGTTAGAACCCTTGACAGATCATTTTTTTCGTCATCTATGTCCCATTGTGGAGATTTCACTTTACTTCCTGTCACACAGCCAAACAGGAAATCTCTGCAAATTAACCGCTTCCCGTCTGGCCGTTGTATATAAACTTGCTTGTTGTGCTCCTTGGGAGCACGCAGCACCACGATCCGGTGCCCGCCCACCGTGTTTCCGGAAACAGTGGAACACTGAACGTTGTACGGGACCTCTGTGTGAGGTCCCGATCATGTGATCACTGATTGGCCAATCAGTGATCACATGAAGAGTAGTAAGCAAGATGTCACTTCTGTAGGGGCGGACTGACAACTCATGGGGCTCCCAGGCAATAGGGGATCATGGGGCCCCTGTGTCCTTGGCCAAACTCAAAAAAGCCTATAAAAAGGTACCAGGGGCATCTCATGGGGCCCTACTGACCCCGGGCCTCCGGACACAGCAGAACACCGATCGCTGTACGGGATCTCTGTGTGAGGTCCTGATCATGTGATCACTGATTGGCCAATCAGTGATCACATGCAGAGTAGTAAGCAAGATGTCACTTCTGACATCATTGCTTACTACGTGTGAAATCTGTGAATCATCGCAGAGGTCACATGGTGCAAGGCCATTCACAACATCCTTGTACCATGTGACAAGCTGTGACCAATCACAGCTCACACAGTATTTCTCAATGGCTGCAAGAATGCAGCCAGAGAGGAGGAGAAATTATTGCTTTTACAGCCTTTATGGGTGTAAAAGCAATCCGTGTTAAAAAAAAAAAAATAAAAAAAAATAAAAAACTTCATAACTCTCAAGTAGTACAGTGGTGACAGTATGTAAAAAAAAAAAAAAAAAAAAAAAAAAAAAAAAAAAAAAAACCAAATAAATAAAAAAATAAAATGAAAATAATTTTTGGTTATACACTAATTTGGGTAATTTTTTTTTTTACTAAAAAGATAGCTGAATACATTTTGGCCAAGATTTATGAAAGATTATTTATTTGCAAAATTTTTTAAGAAAAACACTTTTTTTTTTTTCAAAATTTTTGGACTTTTTCATTTATATAGCAAAAAAAAATAAAAATCCCGGTGGTGAATAAATACCACCAAAATAAAGCTTTATCGGTCTAAAAAAAAATGCTAAAGAGTTCATAAGGGTACAGTGTTG